GGTGGCCTTTGGGGTCCCAGTAAGTGTTACAGGACCTGCTGGTGAAGGGAGGCTTTCTTGGCTCCTGCTGAGCTTCTTTTCAGATCAGTGAGGTTCTGTAAAGCAATTGCAGGAGACACAGTGCCTGATGGGTGTGAAGAGGCCCTGCTGGGCCTTGATTAGCCTCAAATTTTGCTCCAGGCAAGAGCTAGGGTTCAGTGAGGAGAGGATCAAAGACTGGAATGGGAGGTGGGGATACCATCATCGGTGGCAGGCAGTCACTTTCCCTTAAAGTCCTAACCACGTTAAGGGTAGGACAGCTGAATGGGTCCAGTGAATTTTGCCAGTGGAGGGAGAAAGGTCAGGGATCCTACAATTAAAGTTTAGTTCCTCCTCCACCATTTTCATCACAATTCAAAATAATGTACATTTTTAAAAAAGGAGAAAAAAAAATCTCAGCAGAATTAAGGTTTTAATCCTATTGTTTAACGTCCAAGGCTAAGGGCTCCATTGCTAAACTTTTCCTAGTAACAAAGTGATTTTACTAGGAGCCCTTGTGGCACAGTGGTTAAGCGCTTAGCTGCTAACAAAAAGGTCAGTGGTTCGAACCTACTAGCCGCTCCACGGGAGAAAGTTGTGGCAGCCTGCTTCCGTAAAGACTGTTGTTTCGTTCGATGCCGTTGAGTCATTTCTGACTTATAGCGACCCTATGTACAACAGAAAGAAATGCTGCCTAGTCCTGCACCATCCTCACAGTCAAGTCTGAGCCCATAGTTGCAACCACTGTGTCAATCCACCGTAAAGATTACAGCCTTGGAAACCCTATGAGGCAGTTCTACAGTTCTACTCTGTCCTATAGGGTCACTACGAGTCATAATGGACTGGAAGGCAACAGGTTTGTTTTTTTTTTTAACTGATTTTAGTTTCTCCAAAATTATATGCTCATTGGACTGCAGAGTTAAGCTCTGAGAGGACAAACTCTTGATAGGGAATGAGGCAGTAGCCATCTGCATTCCTCCTCAGAGAATTATTTTCAGTTTGGGGACCCAACTCAACAACATGCATTTATGGTGTGCCCACCGTATGCCAGGCACTAGGTCAGGTTCTGGTGGTATGATGAAGAGTAAGCAGGGCTACCACGTACAGTTGTTCAGGTTTTATACTCTACAATCTTAGGAGAAGCCATGCAAATTGTAGTCGGCATAGATTTGTATTTCTGTTAAGTCCTATTTCTGCTGATGGCAGGAAAGTGACTTGAAGAAGATAGGCTATATAGGCTGGTCATGATGTCAGTTAGACACAGTCCCCATCCTCAAGGAGCTCACTGTCTAGGAAACAGTGGGACTTCAAAAGCACTAGGTAAAACTTGGGATCCTGGGCTAGAAACTGGAGAAGGTTTTCTCCCTTTCCCTTTTAAAGAACAAGCTGTTGTTTTTGTTGGTTGCCATCCAGATGATTCTGACTCACGGCGACCCCATGTGTCCAGAGTAGAACTACGCTCCAGAGCATTTGCAAGGCTGCGACCTTTTGAAAGCAGATCACCAGGCCTTTCTTCTGAGGAGCCTCTGAGTGGGTTTGAACTGCCAACCTTTCAGTTAGAAGTTGAGTGCTTAACCGTTTGACCACCCAGGGACTCCAAAGAACTGGCTCCAACATATGCACACCCATATTCACTGCAGCATTATTCACAAGAGCAAAAAGATGGACACAACCTAAGTGCCTATCAGCAGATGAATGGATAAACAAATTATGGTGCATACCCACAGTGAGATACTACACAATGATAAAGAACAAGGATGAATCTGTGAAACATCTCACAACATGGTTGAATCTGGAGGACATTATGCTGAGTGAAATAAGTCAATCACAAAAGGACATATGTTGTATGAGACCACTATTATAAAAACCCATGAAAAGGTTTACATACAGAAAAAAACAATCTTTGATGGTTACAAGGGAGGGGAGGAATGAGAAGGGGAAATCACTAACTAGGTAGCAGACAAGTTAACTTCGGTGAAGGGAAAGACAACACACAATATAGGAGAAGGCAGCACAACTTGACCAAAGCAGTCATAGAAGTTTCCTACACACATCCAAACACCTTGAGGGACTGAGTTACCGGAGCTGAAGCTTGGGGACCATCGTCTTGGGGGACATCTAGGTCAATTGGCATAACATAGTTCATAAAGAGAATGTTCTACATCCTACTTTGGTGAGTAGCATCTGGGGTCTTGAAAGTTTTCAGGTGGCCATCTAAGATACATCTGTTGGTCCCATCACGCTCGGAGCAAAGGAGAATGAAGAAAACCAAAGACATAAGGAAAATATTAGTCCAAAGGACTAATGGACCACATGAGCCACAGCCTCCACCAGCCGGAACCCAGAAGAGCTAGATGGTGCCCAGCTACCACCGCCAACCATTCTGACACAGATCACAACAGAAGGTCCCAGGCAGAGTGGGAGAAAAATGAAGAACAAAATTCAAATTAATAAAAAAAAAACCAGACTTACTGGTCTGACAGAGACTGGAGAAACCCCAAGACTACGGCCCCTGGGCACTCCTCTAACTCAGACCTGAAGCCACTCTTGAAGTCCATCTTTCAGCCAAAGATTAGATAGGCATATAAAACACGCTATAACACACATTAGGAAATTGCTTCTTAGTTCAATCAAGTATATGAGACCAAATGGGCAGCACCTGGCCAAAAACAAAGACGAGGTGGCAGGAAGGGACAGGAAAACTGGGTGAATGGACACGGGGAACCCAGGGTGGAAAGGGAAAGGGGGAGCGTGCTGACACATTGCAGGGATTGCAACCAATGTCACAAAACAATTTATGTATAAAGTTTTGAATGAAAAACTAATTCTCAGTATAAACTCACCTAAAACACAATAAAATTAAAAAAAAAAAAAAAAAAGAACTGGCTCCATAGCATTAAGCAATCAAGGAAAATAAATTTGGTGTGTGCTGGTCTTTTTGCTGTTGTTACTGGTTAATGATAGAAAAGCCATTTCTTTGTCACCAGCTCCCACCAACAGCCAGGACCCAAGAACTTTCTCTCATCAAGACAATAGCTTCTGGGGGGACCTTGTACTACCAAGAAAGCAGTGCCGGAAGCAGAGCACATCCTTTGGACCGGGGTCCCTGCGCCGAGAAGCTCCTACCTAGTCCAGGGGAACACTGATGAGAAGGCTGAGAGAGAAAGCCTTTCCCTGGAGCTGGCGCCCTGCATTTGGACTTTTAGCCTACTTTACTGTAAGGAAATAAACTTCTCCTTGTTAAAGCCACCCACTTGTGGTATTTCTGTTGTAGCAGCACTAGATGACTAAGACAGAATTTGGTACCGAGAGTGGCGTGCTGCTCTAACAGATACCTAAAACGTGGAAGCGGTTTTAAAACTGTGAATGGATACACGTGCGGCAGTGACAGAGGACCAGCAGCAGCAGAGAAGCGGCAGCAGCAGAACCAGGAGACCAGTGCGAGACAGCACTGGAGCCGACCCCCAGAATGAGAGAGCTGAGTGCCTGTGTGCATGAGGCTTCCTGGCGGAGTGGGGTGCCTCCGGGCACTTACCGGTGGAGCTACTGAGCTTTGGAACACTTGCCCCAGCAGGGAAGATGCAGGCATGAGGCCCGAGGGCCAAGAGGCCACAGGAAACAGAAGCTGAAGAGACAATGGACACAAGAAGCCAAGCTGCCTCAGTCTCAGAAGGTATGGCCATGACCTCAGGGGTTTCGAAGGGTGGAGCCATGGCCTCTGGTGCTTCTAAGGGTGGAGTCGCCATGCAGATGGACTGGGAGAACGGTGCGCCTAAAGCCAAGGGAGCAGAGTTGCTGTCCCAGTGGGCCTGGAAGGCGGAGCTGAAGCCCAGGGCCAGGGGCCTCCACTCAAAATCCAGAGACTGTGGCCAATACCTAGAGTCTGAAGGGCAGGGCCATTGTGTAAATTGTCTCGGAGAACAGAGGATTATTTTCAAAGCCTTGAGGGCTAATGTAATGTGTTCTACTGACTTGCTTGGCACCTGTTATCACTTCTTTTCCTCTAGTTTCTCCCATTTGTAATGGAAATGTCTAGCTTGTGCCTGTTCTGCCACTGTACCTTTGGAAGCAATAACTTGTATTCTAGATTTCATGGATGAAAAGGAATTTTTGGATTTTGGACTTGGAGTTAAGACTTTTGCTATGATATGATGAGGTGAATATGTTTTCCATGTTGCAAGGATGTGATTTTTTAGGGGCCAAAGGGTAGAATGTCATGGTTTGAATTATGTCCCCCAAAAAATGTGTGTATCTATTTGGCTGGACCATTATTCCCAGAATTGTGTGGCTGGCCTCCATTTTGTGATTGTAATTTTAGGTTAAAGAGGATTAGGGTGGGATTGTAACACCACCTTCACCCAGGTCACCAATGTAAAGGGAGTTTCCCTGGGGTGCGGCCTGCACCACCTTTTATCTCTCAAGAGATAAAAGGAAAGGGAAGCAAGCAGAGAATTGGGGGACCTCATACCATCAAGAAAGCAGTGCCAGAAGCAGAGCACATCCTTTGGACCGGGGTCCCTGCGCCGAGAAGCTCCTAGTCCAGGGGAACACTGATGAGAAGGCTGAGAGAGAGAGAAAGCCTTTCCCTGGAGCTAGCGCCCTGAATTTGGACTTTTAGCCTACTTTACTGTGAGGAAATAAACTTCTCCTGTTAAAGCCAAAAAAAAAAAAAAAATAGAGAAAAAGAAAATATCCTCTGTTGGCTTTATACTCAGTTGCCCCCAATCAGTACAAAGCTCTCTTTGCTTGTTATTCTTAGAAGTAAAAAAAAAAAAAAAACCAAGCTGACTCTAATAGAGAGCGTCTTCTCCCTGGGGCCAAGTTGGCTGTCTGAGAAGGCCAGTTTAGATTCAGGCATCCAGCAGGGGATTTTACAGTCTCAGGATCCTAGCTCTGTTCTCCACGCCTAGCCCCCACAGCCCCTCCTCCACATCTGAGGTAACTTCCTTGCAGCACAATAACACACCCCATGCTCCAAGCAGTGCCAACGTCATATATATTATTTTATTATTTGTTTGTTTGCTTTCCATGGCAAGTGAAAAAATAATTTAAACCAATTCTATGTACAGACGTGGGTTAGTTTTCCAAGAACTTCCAGAAAGACCCCCAGCCCCTTTTATAGCAAAGCAGGGTTACGGTTAACATCTGTACAAAACTCCACCTATAAAAGTCTCACGTGTAGAAAGATTTCCTTTATTATAAGCATCACATTTTGGGAACCGGAAGGGGGTCAGCAGGGGAGCTGGAGGGAAGTGTACAAGGGGAAGTGTGCAGGGAGGGGGTCCACACGCGCCTGCCGAGGGATAATCCTAGTCAGGAGGCTGTGGCTGGTGAGGCTCAGGTGACCTGCAGCGGGGTTTCCAACATCTCCATGAGGAAGGTATCAATGGGCGTGTCCCCTATGAGCTTGAAGAAGAAGAGGTGCTCCAGGCATTTCAAGCCGATGGAGCGCAGGGCTGGGAGGCGAAGCAGCAGCTTTGCAAACCTGCGGAGAAGACAAGGGAGCATTAGGAAGCAGGGAAGGACATGGGGCATCTACTGGCAGGGGGAAGTCCATTTCGTCTTTTTGACCACTCTGTGACAGAAGAGCCTGGGAGGGAGACTGAGGCAGTGGGGGAATATTTAACCCCAGAAGCTTCAGAAATGGACTAGAAAACCACTTGTTGTGGAGTCGATTCCGACTCATGGCAAACCCATGTGTTTCAGAGTAGAACTGCGCTCCATAGGGTTTTCAAGGCTGCGATCTTTTGGAAGCAGATCACTAGGCCTTCCTTCCAAGGTGCCTCTAGGTGGATTTGAACCGTCAGCCCTTTCGTTAGTAGCTGAGTTCTTAACCATTTGTGTCACCCAGGGACTCTTAGAAATGGTCTAGAGGGCAAGTTAATTTTGAAGGTGGAAACTGCACCACATGACCTCTTAAGAATCTTTTGAATTTTGTGGCTATGCCCTAGAATTGTCCTCAGTAACCTTCATTCACAGAGGTTGAGAGGAAGAGCTAGACTGTGTTTGTTGACTCACGTCTCCACCCCTTACTAGCTGGGTGTTCCTTCCTGTTTCTGTGCCCTAAGTGCTTGTTGTGAAGATTTGCTGAAGCACTTAGAACATGGCACAACGTACACACTGAATATCAGGCATTTTATATTTTATACATATGCACTGCTGGATGAACATTTTGAGTACCTACCATGCACCAGGCTTTACGACAGGTTCTGGGATAACAGATGAGCAAGAGCAGAGGTAGTCCCCCCTCTCAGGAAGTCCCCCTAAGACTGGGCATTTCCTCACATTATCATATCTTTGTTGCTGTTGTTAGGTGCCGTGGAGTCGGTTCTGACTCATAGCTACTCTATAGGACAGAGTTGAGCTGCCCTATAGGGTTTCCAAGGAGAGGCTGGTGGATTTGAACTGCCAGCTTTTTGGTTAGCAGCCGAGCTCTTGACGACTGCGCCATTTGGGCAATGTGATCTCAGTTTACCTCAGTTAACAAATTTTTGTTACCTATCTTCACCAGTTTTTATCATCAACTAATTAGACTGTGTCTACTTTTAAGACAGGGCCCTGGTGGTGCAGTGGTTACGTGCTCCGCTGCTAACCAAAAGAAAGGTCGGTGGTTTGAACCCAACAGCTGCTCCATGGAAGAAAGATGTGGCAATCTCCTTCCACAAAGATTATAGCCTTGAAAACTCTGTGGGGCAGTTCTATTCTGTCCTATAGGGCCGCTAAAAGTGAGAATCAACTCAATAGCAACAGGTTGGTTTTTTTTCTTTTTTTCCTACTTTTAAGTTAGAAGAGAAGGAGATGGAAAATCGTAGTCTCAGCCCTGGGGACACAACACACACTCACACACATGCACACTCTCATTCCCACACGCACACTCACTCACATGCACACCCTCATTCCCACACACACACACTCACACACACGCACACCCTCATTCCCACACGCACACACACACACACGCACACCTTCATTCCCCACACGCACACACACACGCACACCCTCATTCCCACGCACACACACACATGCACACCCTCATTCCCACACACACACACACATGCACTCCCTCATTCCCCACACTCACACACACATGCACACCCTCATTCCCACACGCACAAACACACACACACGCACACCCTCATTCCCACACGCGCACACACACTCACACCCTCATTCCCACATGCACACACACATGCACACCCCATTCTCACACGCACACACACTCACACACACGCACGCACAGCCTCATTCCCACATGCACACACACACACACGCACACCCTCATTCCCACACGCACACACACACATGCACACCCTCATTCCCACACGCACACACACACATGCACACCCTCATTCCCACACGCACACACACGTGCACACCCTCATTCCCACACGCACACACACACTCACACACACGCACACCCTCATTCCCACACGCACACACACACGCACACCCTCATTCCCACACGCACACTCACGCACACACACACCCTCATTCCCACACGCACACACACACTCACACACATGCACACCCTCATTCCCACACGCACACACACTCACACACACATGCACACCCTCATTCCCACATGCACACACACACACACATGCACACCCTCATTCCCACACACACACACTCACACACATGCACACCCTCATTCCCACACACACACACACGCACACCCTCATTCCCACACGCACACACACTCACTCACACACATGCACACCCTCATTCCCACATGCACACGCATACTCACATGCACACCCTCATTCCCACATGCACACACACACACACGCACACCCTCATTCCCACATGCACACACACACTCTCACACACAGGCACACCCTCATTCCCACACGCACACACACACTCACACACACTCTCACATACCCTTATGCAGGCATGCACACTCACATGTACCGTCACATACACATGCATGCACACTCCCACACTCACGATACACCCACACACACACTCACACACATGCATATGCACACGCACACTCTTCTATAATTGAGGATCTCAGTTGTGTGACTTACAAAAGGGAGAGAGGACAGTGTGTGAAAGAATTAATCTCACACCTGCATGTCCTTGTGGGCCTCTTAATCTGTGACATTTTTCACTCCATCCTTGTGACCCTTCTTCGTCTCTCAAAATGCTTTTTGCAAAAGAAGCTTATTTTTAATGTTAGTAATGATGACTGTACATCAAGCAGTACTCACAACTTCCAATAAAAAGTACGAAGGCCCAAATCACGTCACTATGGCCCTAAATCAGAGATTCCTGGCTTGGGGTGAATCTGTACTTGGTGTCATCACATTATTTCATGAAAATTTTCAAATTGAAATTGCAATGTTCCTTGAAAATGTATATGTTTCTATACTCATGCCAGATGATGTTTTAAGGAAATATGGCAACGTAAGAAAAATAATGTGGCACCATCCCAAAAGGTGAGAATCACTTTTCTACATGGAAAAATTAAAGATCTATGCCAAGCCCAACACAAAGCTCCAAAATCGTTTAAATATAAAGCACCAAGGGCATCTGCCTGGTAACTCCAGGCGCAAAGAGGCAGTTCAAGTGGGAGTAGGGAGGCTGAGCCCCTGATGGCAGTTCTGCCACTGAAGAGCTTTATGGGTTTACCCACTGCTGTCAAGTCAATTACAACTCATAGCGACCCTATAGGACAGAGTAGGACTGCCCCTAGGGTTTTCAAGGAGCACCTGGTGGATTTGAACTGCCAACCTTTTGGTTAGCAGTCACAGCTCTTAACCACTGTGCCACCAGGGTCTCCTTTATGAGTTTAGGCAAAGGAAATTACTTCTCTATGAAGTGCAAAGTCAGGCTGAGACTAACTCTGAAAATGTTTCTGCTTTCAGGGTGTTTTGTTGGTGGTGTTGGTGGTGGCGGCTTTTGTACTCCACAAATGCCGACATTTTACAATATGTAAAATGCTACATATGCCACGAGACTGCTGTCTTCGTGGTCTGTCCTGGATTTAGGGATTGAGACAGGGACTAACGGAAACATATCCCATTAACGGCCACAGCCATGGGAGCGGCATTGAATGCCTTACTCACTTGCTGACAGCAAGGGGGGCATCACAGCCTTTGAAGGCGCCTACTGTGTGCGTGCGCGGCTGAGAGAAAGTGTGTGAGTTCTGCAGCCCCCTGAGTTTTGATCTCTGCTTTCCGGCTAGAGGAAGCCGACCTCCGCCCCTGTAAAGTGCACTTCTAAAAGGCTCCACCAAGTGGCAGCATCTACCACCGAGAAAGGTGCCTTGACCTGGCCGTGCCAGAAGCCCCTTCAACTATGTACTGCACAGCAGAGGTGACCAGCCCTCGGAATTACTACTGACTGGTTGGGCCAAGTGACACTTTGTTCCTGTCAAACCTCCACGGACACTTACTTGGTCAGGGAGGCCACCCCATACAGGCTGTACTGGACAGACCCAGGGGACATGGCAGGGCCCCAGCCACTGCACCATTTGAACTCCCAGGCTCTGCCCTAGTCCAGGCAACAAGGGGTGGCATCTTTTCCCAGTGCCTGGAGGAAACCCAGACCTCTGAAAGCCCCCTTCCCAGGAAAGAGTAGGTTCTAATGCTTTTACAGTGATGCCCGTTAGACACAACCTAAATGTCAACCACAGGGGAATGGCTAAATACATAAGGATGTGTCCGCATGGTGAAATAGCACAAAACATTGCCAGTGAGAAGTCTGTACATTAAACAAAATATAAAATGCCTGATAAAATGCCTAGAATGGCTAAGGGAGGGAAAAATACACTAAGCTGTATGGTTTCATATTATACATATTCCTATGTATACATATACACACACAGTGAATATACTGGAGACATGTAGACATAGTGGAAAGAAACATATCAAAAAGTTTACCATCAACTCTTATCACCTGATATATATATGTGTGTGCACGTGTATGTGTACATGTGTATCGTGATGCAGTGGTTAAGTGCTCAGCTGCTAACTGAAAAGTTGGTAGTTCGAATCCACCAGCCGATCCGCAGGAGAACAATATGGCAGTCTGCTTCGGTGAGGATTTATAGCCTTGGAAACCCTGTGGGGCAATTTCTACTCTGTCCTATAGGGTCACTATGAGTCGGAATCGACTCGACAGCAATGGGTTTGGTTGGTTTGGTATAGATAGATACATACATACAGATATAGGAATAGATACAGATCTATTATCAAAGCATGGACTGCTTTTATAATTAGGAAAAAATAGAAAAGTTTCTTTTTAAGATAAACAGCGGGACCTAGAGCCAATTCTCGGAAGGAATGACTGTGAGCGTGGTTGTTCCTGATGCCCTGCACACATGTTCTCAGTAAACATGTTTAATGTTGTATTAGAGCTGTGGTTTAGAGATTCGGTGGAAATCCTCCAATGCATGGCTTTCAGTTAACATGACTTGTCCAGGGCTCACAGCAGCCATGGGTAGAGCTGATGATGGCAGCCAGGCCCTAACCTCTTGGACAGGGCTCTCAATCTCATCTATTACAGGTGTAGAAGAGACTGCCTGGTGTCCATCAACTTCTATTTCCTGGTGTCCACCAACATCCATTCCGCCCCACCCCGCCCCATCACTGGCACACAGCTGGATACAACCCCTAGCCTCCTCTAAGTCTAGCTGGGTGACATGATGAAGTTTTAGCCAATGGAAGTGAGTGAGGGGGTGCCGGACCCTTCGAGGTCTTGCCCTCATACACTCTCCTCTGTGCTCTTCCAGCTCTTTCCCCTTCCACCATCTGGATGCAAAACACAATGTGGTCCTGGGACATAGTGGAGCCACAAGAAGGAAGGCACCTGAGTCCCTGAATGATAGCATGGAAGAGAGCCACTTTCCTGATCTGATCACACACCCAGGACCAATATATGAGCAAGAAATAAATTTCTACTGTGTTAAGCTACTGGCATTTGAGAGGTCTATCACTGCAGGTTCATCTCCCTAACTAACCCACAAGGCCTGCCCATTCATTGTACCAAAGGGCTGAAATCCACTCACTTGAATTTACTTATAGCCTCAGACCAAAAAACAAAACAAAGCAACACAACTCAGCCACTTCTGGACAATTGAAGATATTGGCTTATAACCCAGGATAATCAGCTTACTGGAAACTAGACTTCACAGAGGAATAAAAGTCTTTTGTGAGAATCGGAGCATGTAAAAATTAGTCCGCAAGACAAAAAGAATGTCTTTAAGGCAGTTTTTCAAGTTTCATTTTCAGTTTTCTGTGTGATTTAAGAATCCTATTTTCTGTTTTTAAGAACTTGAACTAACAGAGAAGGAACTGGAAAACTTTTATTTGGGGGAAATTTTGGGGATTTCTTTTTTTTTTTTTTTTAATGACTCAGAATACCTATACTGCCTATGACCTCAGAGTTCTAAACTAACATCCTCATTTTCCATCGAGGAGCCCAGACTAAACCTGGCACCTTGCCAGAGGCCACACAGATGGCTCCATGTGGACCAATGATCATGTCTCCTGGCTACCAAAGCCTATACTTCCTACTGCATGGGGACGTCCATAGGGGCTGACCAGAAAGCACTACAGCCATACTTCAAAGCTTAAGCTCTTTGAAGTCAGACGGAGCCAGGTTCACATCCCAGGTTCACCACTTAGCAGCTTTATGATCTTGGATGAGTGACTTAACCTTTCTGAGCCTGAGTTCCTCATTAGAAAGTGGAAATAATGATACCTAGATTCATTCTTTCATTCATTTGTTCATTCAATAGTCATAGAGTGTATACTATTTGTCAGGCGCTGCTTTAGGCTCTGATGCAAGTGGTGAATGGTGAACGAGAGAGACATGAGCTCTGGCCTTGCGGAGCTAACATTTTAGTGGCTCTCAGCTTGTTGTGAGGATTAAAGAACATTTGAAAAAATCTAGACAGTGCCCGCTGCACATTAGGTGTTTGATGAACAAACGTGAAAGCAGGAGTGGTTGCTGCTGTAGTTACCGTTCTTCCGGCACTCTCTCACCTGCCTGGCTGTTCCGGATACTTCTGCTTGGTGTAGGCCTCGAGGGTGGCATAAACTTTCTCTCGCAGAGTCTCTACCTCAGATGGGTTGGACAGACCCTTGGCATCTGAAAAAGACCTCTGATTTAGCCTCTGGTTCCACGCTTCATGTAGATACCCTCCCACGGAGGCTGCCCCATCCACTCCGGCCACCCTCCCTAGAGTGACCAGAGACATAAGGATGGGGATAATTGTGAAATAAACAAAGTCAGTCTTGTGTGCCCCTAGCTCTCTTTCTGTGTCCAATCTACCCAATAAACTCTGGGGCAAAGATTTTAAACTTTCATATAGCCAAATGAACCCACCACTGACTCTGACCATGAGAATTTCATTTTACCCAAGACATTGTAGAAATATTACCTTCACACATTTATTGCGTGTCTAATATGTGTTAACCATAGACTGGGGGATGAGATGGAGTACAAAAACTGAATCAGCCTATGTCCTCCATCAACGAGCTCACTGCTTAATTCAAGAGATGATAGATGTGTAAATTAATATATGATTCTGAAAACTCATCTTTCTTGACCCACAGCAGCATTTGACAAAGCTGGTCATTCCCTCCTTCTTGAAATACTTTTCTTCCCTGGACCTCCAGGCCTCTCTTCTAGTTCTCTCCCTCGTTTACTGAGGCCTCTTCACAGGTTCCCTTGCCAGCTTTTCCTTTTCTCCCTGCCTCTAAGTCCTGGAATGCCCCAGGCAGGTTCAGCCGTCAGCCCTCTTCCCTGTTCAATATGTACTCACTCCTTAGATGATCCCATCCAGACCCATGGCCTTACATGCCAGGTGTAGGCTAACAGATCTCAAATATCTACTTCTGGTCCTGGCTTCTCTCCTAACTCCAGACTCACATAAGAAATTGCTTCCTGGGCAACTATTCTTGTTTATCTACTCTCTATCTCAGACTTTAATGTCCACAGACAAAATCCTGATCCCTACCCACCTGCCCTCAGCTACCCCTGGAGTTTTCTCCATCTCATGAAAACTCCATTTTCCCAACTGTTTGGGAAAACAAAAAACCTTGAGAATTATACTTAACTCTTTTCTTTCTTTCACATTCTATGTCATCAGCAAATCCCATTGGCTTTACCTAAAAGTACACCTAAGATCTGACTATTTTTACCACCTCCAATACCCTGAGATCACCGTCATCTCTCGCCTTCTCCACTTGTCCCAAACATGCACGCTCCATACCCACTCAAAACACTTTTCAAGATGGCTCTAGGGATAGAGGCCATGAGTAGCTGACTCTCTGTCCTCTCCAGGGACAGGATACCTGGCACTGCCTTCTCTGTCTCAGCTGAGCTAAAGGATCAAAGAGCATAAGATATTGGAGTCCACGGAGGAGTGCTAACCACTATACGGTCACCTGGGTTAAATAGCACGATGGCTCGCAGGCACCCCAGCTCCGACTTATCCATCTGCATATCTTTCATCTTGGAAACCAGCTCCGTCAGAACTCTGTTCTCAGGAAACAAGGGCAGATGATGAGACAATCATGAGTACTAGGCCAAGTGCTGATAAAATGAATTCAACCAACATTTAATATGTACCCACCCCGCTTTCCAGATGATGCACCAGGTAAGAGATGAATAAAATGCGTCCCTGATCTCAAGGAGCTCACATTTTAATTGAAGAAACAGACATAGAAATAACAAGCAATAACGAAAAGCCCAGTGAAATAACTGCCATGAACAAAGTCTAGGGCAACACCAAGGAGGAGGCACTGAAGCCTGAGGAGAGGACTGGAAAGGCATCGGAGAAGACTTGGAAATTAGTAGAAATGGGGCACAGAAAGCAGGGTAAGGGTGTTGCATGCCCAGAAAAGCTCAGCTAAGGGCAGTATTCAGTGAAAGGGTAGAAATCTCCAGGCACCATGAAGGGTGGGGGTGAGTCATTCCAGTCACCTGTGTTAGTCTCTATGTGGTATGGAGCAGGTTGTGGGAAAGGGCCGAAAGGAGTAGAGACATCTTAGGTGGACATGCACATTTATGATGGAGGTGGAAATGGGACATGGGTCTCTGGCATTGGACAGAGACTATTCTCAACCTTACCACCCCTTCACCTGTTCTCCATCCCCTCACCCCCAAGTCATTAATCTTTATTCATTTCATTCAGCTCTTTAGATGACACAGATTAATTTTACTTTTGCAGCTTTTAAGACACAGAATCCCAGACTGAGGGCGTGGCTGCCCCACTGAGGTGGGTCTGATCCTGCTACAGGCCTCCCCCAGGAATCCTGGTACTGAGTCTAGCCCATCTTGCTTGGCCTCCTGAAGACAGACTTGGGACCCTCTTCCCCATTCCCAGCCCCTGGGATAAGCAGTTCAACCCCTCAACTTACTAGCTATTGTCAATGATCCATTCTCTTCTATGGAAACCCATAGGGATAATAGGTTCTCCCATCTACCCAGAAACCATACTGGCCTCTGACTGGCTCCATCTCCTTGTAATTTCAACCTTTCTTTCATTCCCTAGGTTTATATTCTCATCTGCTTAATGTCTCTGCTTCTAGTCATGTGCAGCTGTTTGGGCTGTCCATCCCACTTCCCAGCATGTGCACACACACACACACACATACACACACACACACACACACACACACACGACACTGGAGGCAGAGAGGAGATACCTGTCAAAGATGGAGCCGACTCCAGCACTATGAGCACTGCTCCGGTGGACGTGTAAACCTGTGGCTAGAAGGATGCCATCCTGCACGGAAACCGAGCGATGGGAGAAGGAGGCAATCAACAGCTCATTCCATCCTGCAAGAATAAGAAGGAGGGCTTGAGGGAGAACCGATAATCATCCAGTGCGGGTATTATTATCCCCATGTAATAAAAGGAGTCCCCGGGTGGTACAAACAGTTAATGCACTTGGTTGCTAACCAAAAGGCTGGAGGTTCAAGTCCACCCAGAGGTTCCTTGGAAGAAAGGCCTGGCTATCTATTTCTGAAAAATCCGTCACTGAAAACCATATGGAGCACAGTTCTACTCTGACATGTGTGGGGTCACCATGAGCCGGAAGCAACTCGATGGCAAAATAAAATAAAAGGAAAATTGGAAATCAAGGGAAGTTAAGAACTAGTTCAAGAGGATGCATCCAATGAGTGAAGAAACCAAGGATAAAACTTGGGTTTCCTGACTTGTCAGCCCACCCCCCACAGTCTCTCCAATGCAGCCCAGGATGGCAGCTTGAGGGCAAGGACTCTTTTTTTTTTTCTTCCCCAGTCAATCAACAAATATAGATTGAACGCTTAACAGGTAATAGTAACTGTGCAAGCTGCCATGGTAGATAAAGCTAGTATACCTTACAGTCCCTGCCCTCAGGACCTGACAATCTAGTTTGATTTCTTTGGTGTTGTCTAGTAGCTCCTAGCACAGCATGTAGCTTCTGGTGGATACTCAGCAATTGCTCATTATCTAACAGGGGAGGAGATGAGGGCACTGGTTCCAGTGCTTAGCCAGTCTTCATGAAATTTCCCTGCTGACTCAGTGACAAAGAGGAGATACGGCATACGTCAATGGGCCACACAGTGTTCTGGAAATGGGAGGCAAGAGAGACTATAGTACATAGAATCTTAAAATAGGAAAGGACCTTGGAATTTATCTAGAATGAGGGGAGCAAGTCTTAGCTTCTTTTATGTCATCTGTGAATTGGGAATATTGCAATATGCCAATTTCAGAACAATCATGAGGCACTGCCTCAGATGAGCTTCAATACAAATGATTCAATGGTCTTTGAAAATTACACGTAAATTTGTGTGGGAAAAGAGTCCTGCTCCTCCATGAATAAACAATATTTCATTGGGGAATGAAAGTTTTTTGGGAGGATTATACAAATTTAAGAGCCTATAAAAAATATAAAAAAGAATAACCCTGGAAAGGGTTCTCCCATCATCAACATGGTGCACAGGTCGGATGAGTTATAGTTCATCAGGTTGCCTGTTTTTAGGATCCCAAGGGTAATTTCAAATAGCAGTCCAGGTGATTGTCCCAGAAATCAAGGAATTCTGGTATGCTTTACCTGCCCGGAGCAGAATGACCTGGTCCTCCAAGGTGAGGTCCGAGAAGTGGGGAATGCGCTTGGCCCATTCAACGAGGGTGAAAAGCTGCTTATCGGCAGCATGGCATATGTTGGTGACAGGGTCATTCGTCTGAAAAAGGAACAAAGTACTCTGAGGGACAGGACCTGGGACTCCAATAGACGCCCTCCCCCATCTCCAACCCCATCCAAGAAATGGAAGATGGATGGGGGTCCAAGACCGCATACTGAGTTCTCCATATTCATGTCAGCATAGGATTCTGTCTTTGGTTCAACAGCAAGTTCAGCTTCTAGAATCCTCTCCACAGGCATGTCTTCATGGCCACTGCTGGCAGATTCTGCCTCACTCTCAGCCCGCTCCCGGCTCCTCTGCCTTTCTTCTTGCACAGCTGGTATGCAGAAAGACACGAAGAGGTTACCAAGACAACCATGGGAAAGTTAGTTAACCTGTCTAAGCCTCAACTTCCTCATCTGTAAAATGGGGATCACCATGGTACTGAACCAGGGATGTTGTAAGGTTGACAGACGAAGCAAGGAAAACAAAGTTACTTGCTTAAGCCTGTGCATGACTAGGGGTTCGTTAGTCCATGTCCTTTCCAGGTCATTATGGCGACCACTCTAAGAAGTTTGCATTTTAAGCTTTCATAACTTCAGATCCTGCTCTCATCCTCCCTCTCTTCCAACAAACCAGCATCTCCTTTCTATTCCTGCAGTCTCCCACACCCTTCCTCTGCATGCTGCCTCTAATAAACTGTGAGCATGCAATGGTTAAGTAGCAAGTACATTACTGTAAAAACTTCCTCTGTCGGGTCCTGTGCATCATCTGTGGCATTCACATCCCATTAGGTCTGCCCCTAGTACATCAGCCTGAATACAGCACCACCTGATCCAACTTGTCAGGGAAATCCTTTGGGGAATCAGCTGTGGGTAAATGGGTAAGTGAAGGGGTGGAGGGATGTCACCCAGATGACATTTCAGAATCGGTGGCTGATTTGGGAATGGAGGAGGGTAAATAGGCAAAGGTGTAGGTTGGAATTATTTCAACCTTTGAAAATTTAGGGTTTTCATCAAAGTATACTCCAACTCTCAGGACTCTCTGGGTCTGTACATTAAGATGTTAAGGCAGCCAAAATCAAACCCAGTGCCATCAAATCGATTCTGACTCATAGCAACCCTATAGGACAGAGTAGAACTGCCCCATAGGGTTTCCTAGGCTGGATTTTTATGGGAACTGACTGCCACATCTTTCTTGCGTGGGTTTGAACTGCTGACCTTTCAGTTAACAGCTGAGCACTTAACTGCTGTGCCACCAAGGCTCCACTGTTAAGGCAGGGCCCCTCCAAAATTCTGTGCTCTTCAGCAGGAGAACAGTCTCTGTTGGGTTACTTTCCATTACCTCGAAGGCTGTGATTTCCATCTTCTTATTCCCAACAGCAATAAGCAGAATTCAGTATGAGAATGCATTTCTTTAATCCCAAGAGTCAAGAAAATTACACTCTTAGCAGGTGGCTAATCTGGAACTCAGTGACAGCTACTCCACAAGCAACTTTTACCTCTTAGCTTCTCTCCCTTCATCCCCACAATCCACTTGCAAAAGCACCTTCTACTCTCTGAGGGAGAAAGAGCCACATAGCCTGCAGAATGAACTTGAAGAGGGATGCTAGACGACTAGTTTGTCAAGTGAGCAATATCATTGATCTCTCAAGGTAGATCAGAGAAGGGGATGACTGCAAGGACACAGCTTATACTTCCAAGTCGCTCACAGAGATATGCCAAACACCTCAAGATGAGAATGTTATTCCGTGGTTGCGAGGGAGGGAGGGAGGGAAGGAGGGAGAAAAGAAGAAAGGGAAAAAAAGAAAAAATCAGGAGAGTGAGAAAAAGAAAGAAAACAGAAGGTAGAAAGAACAGAGGACAAAATGGGACTAAGAAGAGTAAAAACCATGTACCTTGGAGGCAAAGAGATCCTTTTCAAAATGTAGCTCTACCACTTACTAGCTAAATGACATCAGCCCCATTACTTAAGCTTCAGTTGCCCCATCTATAAAGTGGAAGTTATAGTACTTAACTGAGAGGGTTTATGAGGATTAAACAAAATAACTATAAAAGTTCAGTAAAAAGTAGTTGCTTCCTCTTTCCCCTTTGTCTCTCTTTACCCACTTGGGCTTTGCCTTGAGTCTTCCCTCCATTTCCCCATTTGGCGTTTTCCTTCCTCCCCTTGTCTCTCTTCCTCTCTCGTCCTTTCTGTCCACTTTATCAGTCTTCATTCACTGACAACATACAGAAACTATAATACATATTTTTTTAATTTAAATTATCAGTTGAATTTAGTAGCTAAAGTTGAATGCTTTTCGTATTAATTTTTTAAAAGATGGGCTAATGAACTTCTATTTGTCTTAGAAATGTCTTAAAAGATGGGGGAAAGCAAACTGAATTAAGTTCCTTTGGTGGTCCTCTGCTGATTTCTTCTACATATTTGTAACACGCAAAGAAAACAGCTTTCAAGCCTTGGGTTTAGAAAATTAGATTCCAATTCTCATTCTGCCATTGGCAGCCCCTTTGCTGGACACATGTCCTCTTTGTACATAGATCTTACTGTCCTAATTGAAGAGTTATATATCTGTTATTAAGGATGTCCTCCATGTGGCAGACATTCTGGACTACTGTCACTCTGTAGATCAGGGCACATCCAGGGGACATTGGATGATCTAAAATAGTACGAAACTCCGGTCTTACAACACATTTGTATCCACTGACTCACCATATACCTACTGTGCATTAGCTGCAATAGCCAAAATATTGATAGAGCTCTTTCTCTGTGCAAGGGATTATGCACAACACTTTACATAGATTATATTTCACTTCATCCTCACAATAACGCTTAGTCTGGTCATATGAGGTACAGAGAAGTTAGGTAACCTGCCTGAGGTCACAGAAGGAACTGGTGGAGCCAGCATCTGAACCCAGGTTAGCTCCCTCCCACGCTCACCTCTAGCCTCTCTGTACTGCCTCTAAGATGCTGGGCTAGTTGTATTAATAAAGACCACACAGGGCTCAAGGATGTCAACAGCTGCCCCTAAATTTCCTCAAACATTATCCATTTTCTAGCCTTGAAACTAAACATATATGACCAGAAATCATGGAAATAGACTTCCTGAATCCCAAAGATTGTTTGGTGGCCTGGGAGTCAGAGCGTCCCGTCCTATAAAAGCTCTGCTTTTAGCTTGTTGAAGTGTGGGTAGGCCTGTAGCCTCTCTGAACCTCTGTTTCATCTTCCAGGAAATGAATGTGTTACATTAGAGAATACCAAGTGTCTATTGCAGCTATAACGTTAAGTAACTTAAAATGGCAACAGGTCCTAACCCCTGGTCCCAGGCAGGTGAATTCGGGCCCAACCTAATCTAATCTCTTTCTATCTGTTCAACTCTCTAGGGACATAAATTCCACAGTCTCTCTTAGTTCCATGATTTTATTATTGTTTTCTTCAAGAAAGTCTTCAAACTGAGCCTCTAAATTCTATAAATCAAGGCCAGAAATTATGGTGGTAAAGGAAAGGCTGTCCCATAGCCTCTGGGAAGTGACCCTTCAGAGCGTAAGATGAGGAGTGGACTCACGTTTTGACTTTCTCTTTGCCAGGGTAAATGGTACCAGCTCATTGAGAAATTCCTCCAAAAGCTCCTTTCCTCCTCTTTTTTTTATCATTCAGCTTCTCATCGCTCCCATTTCTCCACATTCTTTTAAAAAAAATACAGGAGCCAAAACTCGCCGCAATTTTCTATTGAAGAATCGTAATAGCTCTAGGTTTAAAAGAAGGATTGCCCAGGCTCTACATTTCACATGCCCCTTATTATTATTATTATTATATTTTAATGAAATAAATACTCCCCTAGCCTTTGGCTTGTGGACAACTCTGACCTTAATCAAGGATATTCAGGTTGAGTTTTGGGAGATGGATTTAGACTAACTGTGAAGAAGCAGAAATGACACTTCTATAGTTGAGGCCATTCATGTTCCCTTAAGTCAATCTCATGTACTTAATAAAAATTGTTATTTTTCCAAGTCAACCTCAAACTTCTCTATCCTGGGGGTAAATAACAACCCCTGTAGCCACCATGCTTTTGCTAATGGGAGACGGACTTTGTGGTCATTAATCTTATTTTTTTTACTATCATGGGGGTGGGGACCTACAAAGAGTAACAATTCTATCCTGATGGAAAGAAGACAGTCTCCACCGCTGAATTTACAGATCATATAATCCAATCTGTAAGATCATTGACCCTCCCACAGCAAATATGACATATGCACAAAGTAGTAACTCAACTAATACACCATGAATGAAAGAATAAATGAATGAATGAATGAGTCATTTCAGGAGCACGTGCATTGCTGAAACTTCTGATCCCAACAGGACTGCATTTAGTTTAAACCCTTCATTCATTTAATAATTATTTATTAAATGCCAACTATGTGCTAGGCGGAGCCCTGGTGGCCCAGTGGTTAAGAGCTACAACTGCTAACCAAAAGGTTGGCAGCTCGAATCCACCAGCCACTCCACATTAGTGATACAGCAGTGAAATTTTAAAAAGCAGATAAAACCCCTGCCCTCATGGAAATAGACAGTAGACAAGGTAAATAAGTACAGGAAGTCCCTGACTTATGCCAAATTTGAGTTACGATGAACCACACTTACATTCTTTTTTTTTTTGTACATTTTATCGTTAGTAATATGTACTACATACAATGCTGTAGCACATAATTTGCTGATGTCATCATATCTGTAAGTTTATATGTAATGTTTCCACCCCGCAAAGACACATAAAAATCGGATTTATAAGGATACTGATAATAAAAGTCAACAAAAATGAAAACTTAAAAAAAAAAGGTATTTGACTTGTGTCACAACTGACTTAGGACAGAGTCATCAGAGTGGAACCTCATCATATGCTGAGGACTGCCTGTATACTGATCATGATAAGTGCTGTAGCAAGAAGACTGGGAAGCGTCGGGGGGTGGCTGATGCAATTTTAGACAGCGGAGCCAGACAAGGCTTTACTGAGAAGGTGACAATTGAGGAAAGGTCTGAAGAAAGTGAAGAAACAAGACATGCAGATATCTGGGAAAAGAGCATTCCAAGCAGGTGGAAGAGCAAAGATCCTGATGTAGGAGCACATCTGGTGTACTTGAGGACCAGCAAAGAGGCCAGGTAGGACGCAGCAGAGAAACAACACGCAACCAAATTGTGTATAACCTTGAGTGACAATGTGAGTTCTTCCTTTTTCTGAGTGAGAAGGGAAGGCATTGGAAGGTTTTAGTGGAGGAATGACTTGACCTGGCTCACTTGTTCAAAGCCTCACCCTGGCTGCTCTGTTGTGAAGACTGGAGAAAGACAAAGACGGAAGCAAGGAAACCTATTAGTAGGCTATTTGTATTATTACAAAAGATAATGGTGGCTTAGGGTAGGGTAATAGCAATAAAAGTAGTGAGATGTGGGAAGATTCAGGATATATTCTGAGAGACAGACAAGATTTCCTTACTTAATGAATGTGGTGTGTGAAAGAAAGAGAGGAGGCAAAGTTTTATGGCCTGAGCAACTAAAAAATGGAATGGCCATTTTCTGAGAAAAGGAAGATGGTGTGAGGAACAGGCTGTGGAGGGTAGATTATCAGGAGCTCAGATGTGGCTCTATCACTTTTGAGATTCCTGCTAGATAGTCAAGAATTCTCCCACTGAACGAACACTGCCCCTATAATAGAATGGTTAGGGTTGACTACATGATTCTCAAGGGCCACCTCCAGCTTGACAACTAAGATTCTAGGAAGACCATTTTTATTGGTGGCATTCCCTCTTAGCAGGATTTCAAAGAACTTTTTCCCTCAAACTGGTCCTTTCAGACAGATTTCCCTTCCTCACAGGAAAAAAAAAAAAAAGCTCTTCAAGAATGAGGAGCCATCCAGAACTGACTAAACTCCCTGTTCCCATTTCCTGGAGAAAGGCAGGACTTCCTTACTCTAAACTTTATTAAGATTCACTATTTGCACCATGAACCTGCTTGAATTCACTAGTTAATTAACTGCTCACTTACATTTATTTGTGTTACTTAAAAGAAAGACTTTATGAAATTTTAAAGGAACAGGAAGCACTTTCGACAAATTTTTTTCTTGACTCTGGAACAATCCAGCTAACTCACACTGTAAATTGTAAGATGTGCGGTTTAAATGCACAATGAAGGTCTCAGAATGAGAAGGGTAGTTTTGTCAGACCTGGGTAATGCTAGTCATCCCAAAAGACCATGGAATATACCAATCACAAAGGATCTACAGTAGACCAAGAGGTAAAAGCCCAGAGAGTGAAACCAAACCAGCAGATTTTCTCACGGTGAGACCTCGGGTAAGAGGGGAGAAGTCAGCTCCACCCTGAAGGTCAGTCTGACATTCCATTGGTAGGACAGCACACAAGGACCCTGACTCCTCGGCTCTGAGACTTGCTGCCTGGCTACTGAAAGAGCAAGGGAGAGGACCCAGTTTGGTGATCACCCACTCAGGGGACCATCGTCTGGGCTCCAGGAAAGGATGCCTCTTGCCCTCTTTGCTGTACCCATGTATTTTAGAGTAGATCTGTGCTCCATAGAGTTTTCATGGCTGTGACCTTTGGGAAGTAGATCGCCCAGTCTTTCTTCCAAAGTGCCTCTGGGTAGGTTCAACCACCAACATTTCAGTTAGTAGCTGTGTGCTTACTGTTTGCACCACCCAGGGACTTCCTCTTGGCTGTAGGAATACGCATTTCCTAGGGTGAGGGGGACATTCAGTTGCAATACTTGGGAAAGCATGGTACCCAAAGTCATGCCAACTTCCACTCCAAACTTCCCCTTCTCCCCATATGGTTCAACTCAGCAGGGATCTTTCCCACACACCAAATTTGTCTCCCAATGCTATTTAGATGCACACTGTGCTCCCTTGAGCAGAGGGGGAAGGGGAGGGCTCACCTTCCCTTTGACCTCACCTTCCCTTTTCATGCCCATGACAAGGCACTTCTGATAGCGACAGTATTGGCAGCGATTGCGCTGGCGCTTGTCAATGAGGCAGTCTTTATTATCCCGACACGTGTAGATCAGGTCTTTCCTTATGGTTCTCTTGAAGAACCCTTTGCAGCCTTCACAACTGTACACCCCGTAGTGCTTTCCTGGCACAAGGAAAGAACATGTCATAGGTCGTTCCTGGGTTTATTTGGATCATTCATTCAGAGAATACCTTGGCTGTCGCCCAGGGAGTCGGGCAACTTCACCTTGGCACTGGGTCAGAAAACAAAGAACGACTAGCAGAAAATGCAAGCTCGCTCCCAGGAACCAAAGTAAGGCACAGTAAACTATACCTTTTCTTGTGCCTTCCCTCCATATCTCTGTGTCTCTGGAGAGCATTATTAGAAAATTCTTGACCGAAGATTTTGTTTAGATTTATTTTATCAAGGTAACTCTTGTGTTTGGTTAAACAAAATGTTCTGCCTCAATTCAAGCCATTAGTGTACATAATAAATAAAAATATTTTTAATCATCATCTATTTCCTGGCAGGAAAGGGACCTCAGCCTAGCCAATATTTCCCCATAATTGAGGCTCAAGGTCTTAAGAAACCCACTTAAAATAATTATCCTTTACTGTAAGCTATTAACAAGATCTTGAGTTATGTATGATTTTTTAAATGCTATTGCCCATTAGAGAAATAAGTTGGTATATGGTCTTTATAGCATAATATGACACTCAATATTAAGATGTGACTCAACTATCTGATAGAACACTGCTTTGCATGATCCAGAATAATCTATTATATGTTCCATTTCCCTTATTACCCTCTCCTACATTCTGTTTTCATTACCCCAGCCAGGGATAGCTAATTTGTGTCAGGAGAATCCTCATGCCACCCCCCACACAGACATCATGAACTGATCACAATACTCTTTCTAAGTAGATGTCTTCTCAGTACTACACTCCAGGCAGCTATGTTCAATTGATTGGAATTGTGGAACTTAAAAAATACAAAAAAACTGATCATTCAAAACATATTTATGTCTGATTCTTGAGTATAATATGTGATGTCATTTAGCTACAGACCAGAACTGACTTTCTAATTCTGTTTTATTTAGGCTGATATTAAAGTGAATTTGCAGTTCACGAGAACACATATATCCAATGTAAATATCTGTTGGTCCAGGAGCTTACGTTTTCAAGGAGCCAGCCTAAAGCGAAGTAGTGGTAATTGATAACGCCTGATGAAAAGACTTCCCCCACACCTGTTGCCATCAAGTCCATTCCGACTCATGGTGACCCCATGTGCTACAGAGTAGAACTGTGCTCCATAGGGTTTTCTCAGCTGTAATCTTTATGGAAGCCGATCACCAGGCATTTCTTCTGTGATACTGCTGGGTGGGTTCAAATCACCAACCTTTAGGTTAGTAGCCAAGAGCAAACCATTTGCACCACCCAGGGACCTGATGAAAATACAGCCTGTGCCTAATTAGTTGACTACACTAATTTACTGAACTTACAGCAATAATAGATAGGGATTTTCTCTTGAGTCAAAAGAACCTAATGCTCTAAGCTCCAAAATTATTGTCCTCAAGAAACATGGGGCCAATTTGTCAACTGTATGACATAGTCATCCTCATGGCTCTTTAATATGTGAATGAACATCCCACTGTTTCAACAAAAGTAACCAATAGCGGAGAAAATCTGGGTCTAGTGGGGCTGGTGACCTTTGCTGCAGTAATAGCCAATCTAGAGAGGCCAAGTCTATGATTTGGAAATAACTTTTGACAGCAAGCAAACATCAACCATATAGCTAAATAAATTCCAGGCACCAGGAACTTTCTATGGAGTGAAATTCTGTAGTGGCTTTGGTGTCAATAAGAAGATGAGGAAGTATTCAGTCAGCCATCATGGACTGCTATAGAAAAGAACCTTCTCCACTTCCTCATTTGTCAAAATGGAGATGTGGATGCCTTCAAAACTGGGGGAGCAAAAACTGGAGGGAAATAATCTGGGCAAAAGTGGAAAAGGGTGAGAGAAGATGAAGTAGGTAAAAACACATTGTTTCAGCCACAAAGCATGTTACAAACCCAGAACGTTAGGGAATATGCAAAACTATCGAAGGGTTAATTTTTGTTAGGGACATTACAGATAATTTTTTAAATTTTTCTTTTGTACTTTTCTAGTTTTTCCAAATTTTCTACACAAGAGACATTATTTTTATAATTATGAAAAATAAATTAAAGAAAATCTGTTTTGCAATGTTTGCGGATCACAACAGGTTCTCTAGCCTAGATTCACCTGCACCACAGTAACAACAGAGAGAGGCTCCTGAATGTTTCCTATAAATCTAAGCCTCAAAAATGAAATCAGCCTTTAAATTCATCAGGACTGCAGTCACTGATGAACACAGGGATAGAAATTTTAAAGCCTGGGCTGAGAGCTGGACCGTCCTAAACGAACAAACAAAAACCCCAAACAAACCTATCGCTGTCGAGTCGATTCTGACTCATAGCAACTTCATGTGTTACAGAGTAGAACTGCTCCATAGGGTTTTATTGGCTGTAATCTTTAAGGAAGCAGATTGCCAGGCATTTCTTCCGTGGCACCACTGGGTCTGTTTGAATTGCCAACCTTTAAGCTAGCAGCCCATTGCAAACTGTAGCCAGGTGGGTGGTGGAGAAAGCTTCTTTTCTGGGACCCCGTCAGGTGGGGTACTCAGGAGAGACGTCTGCTCTTGCACATACCTGAGGATCTGTCCCCACAGATGGCACAGATGTGTTTAACCAGAGGCCCAGGGCTGGTGGACGGGTAGTTCATGTTTCCAATGCCCGGAAGCCCTGGTAAAGGCTTGATGTCCTCTGAACTGCTGACACTGTTCACCACATTTAGCTGCAAGAGAGAAAAATAACAATAAAACAGCCAGAGTAAACCAATCCCTGAGGCCTACAGCAATGAGGGCATAATCGAGGAAAAAAAAAAAACATGTTCTATTTCAAGAAGCAGCTTCTGAGCCCAGAGTATCTGAAACTGCCTATCTGGAGTATGAATTAAGGGAGGGGGGAAAAAAATGGCACACTAAGTCATTTGCAGAAGACAAAACCTAAACCTCACATCACAACACGTCTCCATTAGAGCTCCTTGCTTTTACTCACTTTACTCAACATGTTTTATTTGCACTAGAAATCCACACTGAACTGAGCTGCACACCTAGCACAATGTCAGCTGTGTTTTTAAATTTTTTATTAACTATCGGCTGCCTGTTCAGCGGCACTCCGAGGAGGAGCTATGGCCCTCCGGCAAAAGCCAGGCTCTAAGAGAGCCCAGTAGAAATGCAAATCTATTCGCTCAATGGACAGACATTCCAGGTGCTCCCCCAGCCAGGCACACTGCCTGTCTCTAGGGTACAAAGGCAAATAACGCCCATCTAAAGAAGTTCACACGAAAAGAAAAAGAAAGATAGTGGGGTCACCATGAGTCGGAATTGACTCAACGGCAATGGGTTTAATGGCCATGGCAATAAGCCCGTTGAAAGATGCTAACCAAATGCCCAAATCTTTGCAGTAGTACCAAAAAGTGGAGAGAATGCCCCCATCACCTTATTGAACTTGTCTACAACTGGCAGCTCATCTTCCTGTGAAACCATAAAACCAGGGAACCAGAGATTCCATCTGCCTTGTCTCCGAGGGCCTGACATAGGGCCCAGCACATGATAGGGTTTGAATCGGTAGATTTGAATGGCTAAATAAATGAACGTTTTGTTGATCTCTTTCCTCCTCCCTTACCCCATGTTAGCACCCCACTACCGCAACCCCGACTCCCAGTCCTCTTGGGGAGAACACTGAGAAGCCACTGCTAAATGCTTTTGTATTAATCAAAGGAAACAAGTTAAATAAATGTGAGCCAATCATCCAATTGGCAACATTTTCTGAGCACCCCCTGAGTACACAGCAGCATTCTAGGCGCGGTGAAAGGAGAGATAAAAACGAGAAGATACGTCCCTCTTTCTTCAGAAATGGATAATCTCATTGAGGGGTCAGAGCACGCACAAAAATCAAAGACACAAGGAAGTTCGAACAAGGGTGGCACCAAGTATGATGTGTGTGTTTAAGGGTGTAGTGGGGACACCTGTGAACATCTGGGGACTTACGGGAGGGTCCACTGAACCTCTGTATGGGCCATCTGAATTTTGAATCATACTGCCTATCTGAAGTGACTGTACTTCTCAAAATAAATCGAATGTAAGCTTTTCTTCTCTATTCAAAGCCTTTGGGACAGAAAGAATGATCAATAAAACAAAATACAACATAGCCTGAGTTAGTTTCCTTCGAAATGTATTAGCTTTTCAATTCACTGAGCAAATATTTATTGAGCACAGGAGGTAGGCAGAGGCTCTGAGTTGGATGCTGTGAGGGATGCGGAAGAGAAAAAGACACAGCCTTCAGGGCCTGGCTTTGAAATTGAACTCACCAGGAATTTTAAAAAATCATTTGCGCAAGGGATGAAAACACATACATAATAGGAGAATTCTCTTTCTGTCTCTCCACTCCACCTCCCCATCTCTGTCTGTGCCCTTTCTTTTTTTTTTATAAGGCTAAGACAAGGTACCTGGAACTTGCCTCCAGTATTCTGTTCTGTTGTGGTGTAGTACACTGGTTCTCACCGCTGGGGGTATACCTGGGAGCTTTGAACAACACTTAAGCCTGGCCCCACCCCCGGAGATCCAGACTCAATGGGTCAGAGGCATGTCTGGGCACCAGCACTTCAAGTTCACCAGGTGAGGCCAGTGGGCAGCCAGGGTGAAGAACCAATGACGTCGTGGAAAGAACATGGCTCTGGAGTCATGCAGACCTGGGCCTGAGTCCCAGTCTGCCCTTATTGGCTGCAGGACTTCAAAGACGTTATTAGCTCCCATGGCCCTCAGTTTCCCCATCTATAAAATAGTGTGGTGATATTTATCTTACATGGTCACTGGGAGATTAGATGGGATAATGGTGTAAAATGCCCATCATAGCACCTGGCAATGTAGTAGGTGTTCCATCACTTGTAGTGATTATCATTTCAGTAAAATCTGGTGAAGTAGATGAAAATTTTGAGTGTTTATTATGGGCCAAGCATTCTACTATGAGCTGGGGATTCTGCAGTAAATGAGAACACGTTCACAGAGAGGGTTAAATGATTCCATATTTCTGTGGGGGAACAGAGAACTATTTGATGTTGTCATAATACTAGGTCATTGTTATTTCAAGATATGCAATATATTTAGGTGTATATCGATTTTAAGAAACAAGTGAGGGGGTTTCTGTCAGTTGAGTTCGAAGCAGTAACTTCTCCTGAGTGCCACAAAGGATTAGCACTTAGATCCACCCCATGACGTGAAAGCATTTTAGGTCAGAGGACTCACACACAGAGCCCTCAGCCCATCCCCAAATCCTCAGGTGCACATGATAAATCAAGGGGATAAACAGGAGGCCACCATCATCTGGGGCTCAAGATGACCTGCCCATCATTCCCTTCCACCCCATCTCCAGCAGGACTAGCTCCATCACCTCCAGCGATGGCAATCACAGGACAGTAATTATTGCTGGTGTTATTTATTATTGCTACACCTATTGAAAGCTTGACGGGTGCTAATTAATTCTTTTAATCCTCGCAACAACCCTATGAAGTATTCCTATTTTTCAGATGAGGAAATTGAGCCTTAAAGTAGTTTATTCAGAAATTGTATGCGGATGTAAAAGGGAAGATGATGCAGACACTGCCTTGAGGAACCGGCCATTAGTGAGATTAAAAGTCAGCTGGGATTGTTTATGAAAGACCACGTGCAGTTGAGATCTGAGAAGACTTTCTGAAAGAGATAGCATTGGAACTGGGACTGGATGACCTTCAAAAATGGGTAGGATTTCCATAGATCAAGGATGAGCAAATGGCTTTGAGAGCACAGGCCTGGTGGGAAGTCCAGGTGTCTGTGAAGTAACCATGTCCGATGGATCCATGGAAGACAAGACTGGGAGGTGGGCTGTGACAGAGCCTGGAGGCTTGGTGGCCTAGCTAAGGAGAGTAGATTTAACTTGACAAGCAATGAGGAGCCACTAGAGGTTTTGCGCAGAGGACTACCACTCTGCCTCATGGGGTAAGTGAAGTGGCAGCATGAGAAAAGATTGAAGGAGAAGGACACCCAAGGCCATTGCACCTGCAATATGTTCTTTCCATGACACCAGTGGTTCTTAGCCCTCATCTGCATATTAGCATCACCTGGTGAACTGAAAGAAATGCCTATGCCCAGGTACCTTGCCTGAGTCTCACAGGTAGTTAGAGACTAGCCTGGAGCTAGAACCCTGAGTTCCTTGATCCCAGGCTGTCATTCCTCCTTCACCACATCGCCTTCCTTGTGTGGAAGGAGAGCCTCAGTCCTTACCTGCCCTAGATGCTTCCTGCCCCACCTCATTGGCCAGGAGTCTCTGGAAGAGCCCACCTGTCTGTGGCTCCTCTCCAACACACCTTGTCTTCAGAAATCAGGATGGCAGTGAAAGGGAGTGGGTTGGGACAGGTGGGCTGAGGCTCTCCTCTCATCTGTACTCTCTGGCTGGCTTGGGGGTTATGTGGGCTCAGAGCGATGGTAGATGAGATCAAAGGAAACCACCAGGATGCAAGCCCATTAGCTGCCCAGCTCCCAAGTCCCCCAGCCCCGGCTGTCTTGTTCCATTAGAAACAGGTCTGCTGAAACCAGCACTTTGGAGCTGGGATTTACCAGGCAGCTCCAATCTGCCACTGCATGCAGGTTGGCTGTTCCCTGAGAATAGGAGAGAAACACACTTGACTGCCTAGTCTCCTGTTTGTAGACTCAGCCAGGGCCACATGCTTCCTGTGTGCTTTGAGAGCATTCATGGAACATTGGTCCTGCATTTCTGAGCAGCCTAGAGCCCAAATTACTCCACCGAGGGCAGCCATGGACTACAGGAAGGGCACCTCATGGTGGCACCCCTTTAACCTAGTTAGGGTCTTTGTCGTGGGGAGTAGTGATCCTGAATTCTGACCGGGGAGATAGGAATCCTGGGTTCTGGTCTAGACCTGCCACTTCCTCACTGTATGACCTAGACCAGGACATTGCACTTAAGGGGGACCCAGCTTCCTCATCTATAGGCAACATCAGAGGTCTTCAAACTTAGAGTGTGTGAGAGGGGTATTGGGGGGTCAGAGAGGTTGAATAAGCAGCCTTCATGGCTCCCTCCCGTGGTTCAACCAGATCAAATCTGTTTTTATTTGATATGTATTTTAGGCTTCCAGATATGCTTTCATTTGAAGAAAAGACTTTCTGGCTTAATTTCTTATTAATCATCAGTCTAGATGATCTTTAAGGTCTACTGCAGTGCAAACATTTTCCATTCGTATTATCTAAGGATTCTCTATAAAAATGCAAACAAATCTGAAAGGATAATAATTCAGTTATTAATAGACATCTCAGAGGGAATTAGCAGGGACAGAACCCAGGTCAGGAAGCAGAGCTCAGGAGGGGATAAAAAGGTGGGAGAATTCCAAAAACTCATGGGGCCTACTTCAGAGTCCAGCCAATAGCCATCACACTTACAAATATACAGCAACTCACACACACACACACACATACACACGTTCTCTTAGAAAAAAGTTCCCTAGATCACGTTATCTGAAAGTTACTTAATTATTTTCCCAATTATATATTTGATGTTTTTAGAAATGACTCACTCCACTGTGATGCTCCCCAGGGCAGGGATTGAGTCTCTACATTTTTTGACTCTCCAGTACCTAGTACTGTTTCTGGTTCAATGAATGCAAGTTGAAATGAACCTTTCCAGAACCTTTCAGCTACAAAGTGCACCTGAATCAATGATCACCCAGGTATATAATGGATCACC